CCCCAAAACCCCAAAACCCCAAAACCCCAAAACCCCTATTATCCTAAAATTATTGAAAAATAAAGTTCATCTTCCTGATTCCCTTCTTCTTGGCCATCTGGCCTCTAAGTTTGTTCAGAGCTTCACCTCCCTAAAATTATGCCAGGAATTATACCATTAGGATATTTTTGTAAGGCTCAGGATTTGTCATTTCTTTAGATGTCCTCGTATGGATCGGCTCAAGTGAAGAATTCAACCTCCTAGTCACCTGAGGGTACAATTTTACAGCCCCAGCATCGCTGGGGTTGATACTCATGTTCTGTGAGGTGTCTAGTATCGACTTTCTTGATTTGCTGATGCCTAGATTTTGTAGAATTTGATGCTTACTCCTCAAATTTGGCATTTTATTGATCCTTTTAGGGGGTCTCCTATTCATAACACTTCCTAGAGCAGAATTAAATACCATCTAATGAAATTTTATATGAACTTGTTAGCTTACTGAACCCAGCTTCAGATTTATTCGATCTGAGGTCATCTTCAATAAGAATGGTGTTCATCCTCTTTGAGTCCTCTTTTGGCAAAATCGACAGCTCTCCATTATTATCTGAACTATGTTTAAAAGGCAAAATTTTCTGAATAAATTTTATGAAGCAATTTTAGTAGCATCAATGCAGCATTTTTACAAAACCTTGAAACAAATCTCAGGTATTTCTATCATATATAGCTACTTCATGCTAAATAATTAAAATTTCATCAGATTTTGTAAAACCAACAGACTTATTCCTGATAATTTTCTCAAAACATAAAACCTTAGTACCCAATTTTATATCTATCTCTCTAATTTAATCAACACAGAAACTTAATATCTCCTACCTCATCTAAGTTCCGGGGTTTCCAATCAAACTATACAAGTCTCTACCCTAAAAATGTGAACATAAGACATCGAATCCTTCATCTTTTCATCAACAAAATATTGAAGTTTCAAAAGCTATAATTTCTACACAAAGTTGTAAAAATAGGTTTAAAAAGTCTAAAGAAGCTATCTTTCGAAATCAATTTATTACTGCAATTTGAGCAAGAATTTCAACGCTGAATTTATTCTGGATTAGTGGAAACCAGTGAGAAGACAACTAATACTCTGTCATTTAACTAGTTTCAAAAGTCATGCTTAGCAAAAAAATCATGCATAAAAGAAGAAAGATATCTACTCTCTGCCATACCTTCACCACCACCACGACTAAACTGACGTTCCCTCCTTGGCTCTGTTGCTGCCTTATTATTCGCCTTTTCCAATTCCAGATTGAGTTGTACAACTTTTGCTTTCTCTTGCTTAAGCTCGAGGTCCCTATACACATAATTTAGCAAATTACATTCGCACAAAAATTGTAAAATTTGGTCTAAATTAAGCACCATAATTGCAGGAATTCATTCAGAAGAGTTTAGGCTGCAGATTTCCAATTACTTCTGATTGGTCCTGCACTAAAATATTGGAATTAGTACTTCACAGAGGAAATGTGTGTATTGTTGACTAATGTTTTGGGAAGCCTTACTTTTGAGCATTGACCTTCTGAACTTCGTCAGCTAAGGCAAGGCATTCTTTCACCTTGTTTAACAAATTTTGCATTTCCTTTGCCTTCTTCTCATTTTCCTGAGTTGTAAGTCTTTTAGGCTTATCAAAATTATACTTTTGATCTATGCTCCTAAAGTATTATTCATCTTGTTTACCTGTTAGAGTAAAAATTAGCTGAGATTTCAGAGCTTGCATCAGCTTCGTGAGCAAGTGTATTAGACCTATGAGATCCGTCATGGATAACCTTTATTGATGGACCTTGCATTCCAGAGTCTGTATTAGGAACTTCTTGCTCTCCATCATCATCTTTCTTGAATAGTTTTATTGCATTATTAGCGATGCTCAACTGGCTGCTGAGGTACTTCACGTGCATTTCCAATTCTCTCATCTTATTTCATTTTCGGATCTTCGTTGATTTTTGGAATATTCGAAATTACCTGTGCTTTTGATGCATATACAAGAGTATTAATATTATCATCAATGTATAGATCACAAGGTGCTATGCAGGCAATCATTAATCAATAGCTATTTCCTCCCAAACTCTGCTTCAAAAGACAAGTTAGTTTAGACTCACGATACGGGATTATCTGGTTTGATTTGCCAGGTCTGACTATTTTATCCGATAGCGAAGTGATAACTTGCCTTAGAGTAAACAAGGACTTATTAATCTCTATTCATTCCTTGTTTAAAGCTTTGTTTTTACTTGCATAGGTCAATCTTTCTGATCCAGCAAGATCAACCAATTGAAGTTTGCTCTTGACAATATCGTCAGAATCTTCCTTATTAACCCTCTCAACATTTATGGTGAAGATAGTATGGGACCTACTAGAAGCTTTGTTCAATTTGTTTGAGGCCATTTTCTTGTTCCTAACACCTTCATAAAACAGAGTGACAGCTTCCTCTTCTGACTCAACTTCGAATGTATACAGATTCTCAACTTCATAGACATCTTGACTCTTCCACTTGAGCTTGAGAGGATTCAATCTTTTATAAGATGTCATGTCATGATAGTACTGGGAGTCGTCCAACAAGTCGTGTATCTTTTCCCTGTAGATCTGACAAAAGGACAGCTTGATTACATACTTAAAATTAGGATCTTCATCCTCTTTATCATATATCTGGGCAAATAAGCGCTTTATGACTCTTGGGGAGATTCCAATATTGCTGTCATCCATTAGCTCAGGGATGGGTCTACCATTTCTGTCTAAAATATACCGATACCCCTCCATTGTGAAGGTTTTACCCATACTAGTCTGCCCATATGCAAAAATAGTAGCATTGAATCCATCCAGAGCTTTGAGTATAATATTATGGACCTTTGTTTTATGGAATACATCAGCTTGACTATCATAAGGGTCAATAATAGTATCAAAACGGAATCCCTTCTGAGAGTCTAGCTTCTCTTTATACGTAATGATTGTATTGGTCTTCTTGTCAATCTTCAGCTTGCTGTTTCCATGCTTATTTTCTTCCTGAAGCAATGGCCTTATACGAATGGCTACTTGTATTTGTCCTTCTTTTTGTTCACTCATTTACAAAATTCAATAAAGATTATTATCAGAGGGGTTTTGGGGTTTTGGGGTTTTGGGG